GATGATATAACATTACAACATTATTTAACCGTAGCAGTTACATATATTTCATATTTATATATATTCAAATATATATATATATATACATACACTTTTTTTGGTAATAGACCATAATTTTTACAATATTCCATATGAAAAAACGATCTACAAACATATTAACGCCAAACATTCGGTAGAATTTATAGATATTTTTGATAGAATTCTTGGATGTGAGATTTATATATGAACAATTGAATGATATGGCTTATTCTTTCTGTCATTTCACTCATTCATTCCTCTCTCTTTCTCTTTCAATATAATAACGAGCAAACAAACAAAAAACATTCTCAACGAAAAAAGCTTATTTCATTCTTTAAAAACATTATCATTCAAATTATATTTTCTAATAGAAATTAATTAACTAACCAGTCAATCAATCCATTTTATAAACTCCAATGTCAAAAACACACGCATACATCATAATTACACATTAAACAAAAAAATATTACTACATTATAATAACAAAAATTAGAAAAATATCCAACTTAACACAAAGAAAACTAAAGTAACACCACGAACATCAACACGAATCCGACCATCACATTTAGCCATGGAGCCAATTAACAAACGCTAGAGTATCATATCATATATCAAAATCATCTTCATTCATAGGCACATCATAACTGGTACAAACTTGCTTGTGTGTGATAAGGAGAGAAACACGACAACTTGAATAGAGAGAGCCACATCAGCTGGAATACAACATAAAATTAAATTACACCCTAAAAAAAACTTGAGTTGAACCTAACAGCGAATCTAACACAGTAGTACCGATCTACTATTCGCATACATAAAGAAAAACTCACAATTTTGAAAAAAAAAATTAATTTTTTAGGAGTAAAACAATCTTAGTGAAAAACCAGCAGGCGATTCACGACTCTTCCATCAGTTCTATATCGAGATAATATTCAACGAACTCTCTCGTTCAAATTCAACAGCTGTGATAGCCATGATAAATTCCTCGCTAATAAATATCACTCAACAATTATATCTCAGTAATCTAAGAAAATTAATGGCTCGAACGGAGATTGCTCTATTTGGCCTTTCAAAATGATCAGAGTCGAACGTCAAATCTTGGTCGAATTGACGAATCTCTGGTACACGGGCACACACATACACAAACAGAGAAAATATGTATATATCTATATATAGGTTCATTCACAAACGAACATACGTACAAAATACATTTATAAGCAGTTGAATATGTATATATAATTATATAGGTCTTCAAACAAGATTGATTTAGTTAGTTAGTTAGCTAGTTAGGGACAGACGTTTTGATTTTGATCTGTGGATTGATTTATAAGTTGAGTGGATAGAAGCTGATTGATTGGTTGATTGAATCACTGATTGACTGACTGACTGATAGATAAATTGGTTGGGTGGTTGTGACAGAGAACAGAACTGTCATAAACAAACCATCAAACGAATGGGAGAATGGACGACAAAAAACACAGCAAAGGAATGAATGCAAAGGAGTTAAGTGATTGAGTGAATGTAAGATCAGATAGATGAACGAATAAATAATTAAATTTACTGGAAATAAGTAAAACAATATCAAATCATCATTTTTTTTACTATAAACTCTCTACATTTTTAGCACCATCATTCTCACCATCATCATCTCATCTTATCATTACTCACAAATTGTAATGCAAATTATCATTATTAACATCATCATCTACAACGTCATTATCATCATAATTGACAGGGTGGATCATCAATGAAATAATATTAACATATCATCATTAGCAATAATTTTGTCAATGGTAACAGACATGATGTATATATATATATATATACATCTATATATAATTGTATGAATTCTACCGAATTGTTGGCATTAACCAATTTAAAGTTTGTCTTTTCAATTTTCCTCACTAGAGCTTTCTGGAAATAGTTCAATTTATTGAAAATAGAATTATCCAAGTTCACGATGATAAACTTGGAAAATTGAAAAGACAGACTTTAAATAGATTAGTGCATACAATTCAGTAGAATTCATACAATACAGTATAAAATATGGTCTCCATCCAGCATATGTATATATACATACATAAATATAATATACTTAAGAAATAAGAATATTTATTTATCTATTTATGATAATGATAATAACTCAAATAATGATAATGATAGACACATGAAAATAATAATAATAATAATTACAACAATCATAATTATCAGCACAATCACAATTCCTCTTAATTCCTACGACCATTATTACCATTATTATTATTCCTATTATTATTATTTCTATTGTTGTTGTTGTTATTATTATTATTATTGTTATTTTGATGTTGTGACTGTTGTTGTTGTTGATGATGATGTTGATGGTGATGACTACTATCATCAGTTCCAGTTAGATCCATCTCTATGACCTCATCATCGTCCTCGTCATCGTAATCATCATCGTCATCTTCGTCGTCGTCTTCGTCGTCGTCATCGTCACCTTCATCGTGTATAAATGCCAGGTGGTTGTTGTTGTTCATTTTTTGTTGCTGTTGCTGTTGTTGAGAGTTGTTGTTGTGCTTGTTGATGTTAATAATGTTATTGTTGCTGTTATTGTTGCAACCACCACTACTTGAACTGTTGTTACTATTGCTGCAAATGCTGAAATTAGCATTGTTGTTGTTGTGAATGTTGTTGCTATTGTTGATTGAACCAACATTATTACTGTTGTTGTTATTACCAACACCCAGCCCTATGCAGCTAAAATCTTTGGTATCATTCATCCCGATGGCATCTAGCACGCCACTTGACATTTCAGCTCCTAAAACAATGGGTCCTCCTATCTCCCCAGACTCAGTTTTGAAGATGCCTGTTAAAGGATCGTTGCGATGTTGTTGTTGGTCATCGTGTTGCGCCTGATGTTGCTGTGGCTGTTGCTGATGCGGCGGTAGTTGCGACTGCTGGGGACGACTGCGTCTTCTCGTTGGTTTAATCCCACTGTGCATGGCAGCTGTGTGCTTCTTGAGGTTCGAGGATACTGTAAACCTGTACAGATGTATGGCATGCCAATCATGTCGTCGTGACGTATGTATGTATGTTTCAAAACATCTATCCAATTTTGAATAAAAATTATTTTTTTTATTCATTCATTCATCCAATCGGACTCCCTGTGCCAATCAATCAATCCATTAATCACCTGTGTCCACAGTCGACACATTCATAAGGTTTTTCCCCACTGTGGATGCGCATATGGCTGCGTAGGTTGGCAGAGAATGAAAATTGACGACCACACTCCTGACAGGTATAAGCCTGGTAAGTAGTTGGCATGGGACAGTAATAATAACGAATGAAAAAATGGATTGATTGAAAGAATGGATAAATAAATAGATAAATGATTGATAGATAGATGAACAAATAGACAGACAGACAGACAGACAAATACAGACACCACAGACATCAACAGCCACACAAAAGTAACCTTGATGCCACTATGTACAGCCAGATGTTTGGTGAGGTTAGACTTGACGGCAAATTTGCGATCACACGTCTGGCAGATGTACGGTTTTTCTCCATTGTGGATTCTACCGTGACTCCTTCAGTAATTTATTCATTCATCAATTAAATAAAATTCATTTAATCATTCACATTTTCATCCATTCCATCATCATTCAGCTATCGGTCCATGCTTCTGTGATACTTTCTATTCAAATGAGCAAGATATTCAATGAAAAACAGAAAAGGACAAACAAATAAACACTCATGAACAAACAAAAATTCATAACAAACTCAACAATCAAACAAACAAACTCGACAAACAAACAAACATACTTGAGATTAACGAGATGAGAAAAAGCCTTCCCACATTCAACACACTGATACGGCTTAATGCCTGTATGAATGATGCTATGCTTTTTTAGATTAGTCAACAGCGTAAATGCCTTCGAGCAAACTTCACACACGTGTGGTCGAGGGATTGGAGTATCGGGAGGACCATGGAGACGTGTCATGTGTGAAGCCAGGCTCTTTTTCTGGGCAAAACACTCATTGCATTCTGGACATGAGTGCAATTTTCTAGCCATTGGAATTGGATTAGAGGATAATGCTGTTGGTGTTGATGTTGTAGATGATGATTGGTAGTTGTTTCGTTGTTGTTGCTGCTGCTGTTTGTGTTGTTGTTGCTGCTGCTGGTTGATGATGTCATTCATGTGGGGAGTGTTCGGAGAGTTTGAAGTTAGGATTTTGGGAGATGGTGTCGGTGGAGACTGAGGAAGTCGTTGAGGTGATGAGAAAGATGGTGGGGGTGTAGTTTGAATGTGCTGCTGACTATTACTGTTACTGTTGTTGTTACTACTGTTGTTATTATTATTATTGTTGTTGTTTGGTGATTTGTTGGTATTATTGTTGTTGTTGTTGCTACTGTGATTGTTGTTACTATTGTTATTGTTGTTATGGTTTTTATGACTGCCACTACTTGAGTGTTGATTAGGAGATGGAGTACTGGCATACGAGTCTTCTGGTTTGACGTGCATACCTGCAGCAGCAAGCAGCATTGAAGTCTGTTTTTGTGGGGTCAGCATTAAAGATGATTGTGGTTGGCCGAGTGAAAGATGTTGATGCTGGTGGTGATGAGATGATGTGGGGCCCTGGGAAAGATCAACGGACCCTGGAAGAAGAGCTGGAACAGATGGTAGATGATGATGATGCTGATTTACCATCATATGCATTTGAAGTTGGTGTCTGGATTTTTAAGAAATTTTAGATAAAATGATTTAAAAATAAAATTTTAGCCATTTAATTTTTTAAGCAACTAATTGCAGACATCTTTAGTTAAACACAAAATAAAAGTTGAAAAAATAATTATATAGAAAAATCACCTTTCATCTTGACTAGACATGGGTTGTAATAGATTTTGTTGGAAGAAATCTTCAAAACAGCCCCGGAAAGCCATATCGGGCATCCCGGGCATAACATGATGACCGTTTACGTTATACATTTTTCCGTCAAATAAACAATCGGCAGCAATTTAACTTATTTCACTAATCAAGCAAAAAGAATTTTAATTTTTACCAGCCTAAGTCGTGGGCACAACGTTTCGATTAACAAAAAATCAATAACTGAAAAATTGTTTAAAATTAAATCGTTCGATAAAAATCCGAATCGCACATTAAAGTGAGAAAATAATTACAATTATTTAAACCACATAAAACGACATTTTTGACGATTTTTAATAAAAAACAGAAACAATGAAATTCGACCGGAAATCGTCGTTTAAGCAGCATCAGTGTTGACAGATTGTATTTTTTCAAAAAGCCATTTGGCTTTCTTACTTTCAACGAATTTCAATCAACCTTCGTTCAGCGTCCAGAGACCCAGTTCCCCGCGGTAGGACGTTGCTTTCTTTTCAGACTAATTCGTTGCATCCATCGGAGCATTTTCATGTCGGTTCGTTGAAGTTGTTGTTCCAGTTTGGTTGTCATTGGCCATGTTTCTGGGGCTGCACCTTTTATAATTCAATCCATTTGATTTAAGTTTCCTCTTATCTATATCTCACCTGATTTTAAAACTCTTGATTTTCCGTAGACTTGGTTTTATTTTGATTCTAGCATGTCTCTTTCTTTCCAGATTAACATTTTTGATAATATTTATGTTAAAATTCGTCCGCATCGGGCGGGCGTTAACGCGACTTTTCACGGAACAATCGAAGCGAATGTAAATCGATGATTTTCAACATTAAAAAAAAATAATTTCATTCATTTAAACAACGAAATAACAAAACGAAAGAATTAACCATATGAGTGTCAAACATTTGCAGATCAGAAACTTCATGAAATATTAGAGAAACGATACGTTACATAAATATACAACAATTGAATAAACTATATATGCAATAATATTTCATACATCATGGACACACCCATATTGAATAGTACATTACCTAGTTCCATGAATTCATAAGCAATAAAATACAAAAAAAAATAAAGTTATTAATTCAAATGCTAATTAAATCAAATAATTTTAAAATGGCAAATAAATTTGTAATTCACAACCGAAGCCTTATCAGATCATCTTCAACTGATAGATCTGTATATTTCCCTTGCTTGTGGCCGTAATTAGGTTGTTGGTTGACCTGGTTTCCGACCAATCAACGCAGACGATGTCATCAACTTGATCACTTAATGGTAGCTCTTCTTTCAAGCCATTTTCATTTATCTAGGAGACAAAAAAGATTATAATTAAAACAATAAATCATGATATCCATTTTATCGTCCTATTAAATTGTACTCTATATTTAAATACAAAATAATAAAAAAATTTTACACACAAAAATGCACTACAATATCTTGAATCGGCCGAATAGTTACGATTATGTATTACTGAAAAAAGCTTTCTAGGTCGGTCTCTTAACTACTAAAAGCTAATTATTATTTGTAGTTAACTAATTACAATTGTCATTGCCAATAACTAACCATATATACGGCAGCATTGGGACCATGGCAGATCAGAGCATGGCTTGAGCTTTCATTCAAAACGAAGGACCGCCAACAATTATAAGAATTGGACTTTCGGCCGTTTAAACTGTTAAATTTGTCGACGCTCTGTTCAAAGATCTTCATGCTGATGTTTGATAGAGACCACTTTGAGAACTTTGAAAATGAAAAAAGTCTATCAATATATCGTCAATTTCAACCCCAATCAATATAAATTCAAACCAGTCACAACACATCATTTTTAAAACTCTAGCTAACGACACACCACAACCCCTTTTAAATTCCAACCAATTTCAAGCTTTTCTAAAATCCGACCAATCAAAATTCTTCACAATTAATAGCTCAACCAACCAGGCCAAGGCTGTCCGTGACGTAACAGGCATTATCATTTCCGGCAAAGGAAACACCGGTGACGTCATGATTAGTCGTCTGCCACTGCAGGACGCAGTTGTACACGCGCATGTCTAATCGTTGGCGATGATGAATGTACAAAAAACGATGATGAATGTACACAAAGCGACGACGACGACGACGATGATGACGACGATGATGATGAAGATGGTAGCAAAAGTGTAAAGGCAGCGAAACTGACCGTAGACCCTGACGAAGCCATCAACGCCACCGCACAGCAACAAACTGCCACCGAGGCTGTGCGTCATGCAACTGATCATGACCGGTCCAGGAGAGATGGGCAAGGCTCTCTAATTAACATAATTTATTAACTAATTAATGATCTCGAATTATTACTAAGGCTCTCTAATTAACATAATTTATTAACTAATTAATGATCGGTCCAGAGAAAATAAGCGAAACCTTTTATTTAATTTTCATAATTCATTAATATAACTACTGATTATTCAAGAGAAAATATGAGATAAGCCATCTATTTAATTCTCACAGCTAGTAAGTTAAAGCCGATTTATATAAGTTAATTTAGACGCATGAGGTCGATGGAAGCGCTGTAAAAAAAATGAATTCACATCTTGCTTGACGTCATCTTTCAAATCCCAAACAGTTAATTTTCCAGTTTTCAATTGTTTGAGTGGCTGTTGCGGTTGATGTTGCGATGGTAGCGTAAAACTACTGCTGCTGCTGCTGCTGATCAACCTTCCGGACGATGACGTCACAAAAGTTGTTCCATGCGGACTGCTGGATATGCAGACGGTCCTGATTGGTTGGTTGGTTGATTGTCTGATTGAATTTGTGTGACTAGTAAAGTGATTAATATGCAATTAACTGGTGATTAAGATGGAATAATTCAGCGAGTTTGTGACTGAGCTATCGATGGAATAGTTGTGTGATTGACAACAACAAACAAACAAACAAGGCGACAAACAAACAAACAACCAAAGAAACAAACAAACAAAGAGACAAACAAACAAACTTGGGATAATTAGAGTCGACATTGAGCTCTCTGATGACCAGCCTATCTCTGGAATCGAATATCCTGATACTGCCTACTCTTGATCCCAGCAAGAGCTTCAATAGAATGGATGGAAAGATAAGCGTGTGGATGAATGAAAAAGGGAATGAACGAATGAATAAATGAACGAATGAATAAATGAACGAATGAATGAATGAATGAATGAACGAATGAACAAGAAAAAAGGACAAATGGATAAATAAATAAATGGATCGATTGATTGATAGATGGATAAACAACCAATGGATAAATGACAATTTCATAATTATAATAAAAATAACAATTATTATTATTATTATACAAACGTATCTTCCGGATGTTGAAAGCCATTCCAAAGAAGTTAGAATGGACTTGGACATTGTGCTGGCTCTAGTCTGAATCGTTGGCTGATTGGTCCAAATCCTGAAATGTGATTGGTCATATACTTGAAAAATTAATTGAAATTGAAAACCCTGAACCATCCATCCATCCATCCATCCATCCATTCCTTCATTCATTCACTCACTCACTCATTCACTCACTCACTTCATAACTCCTTCAGCATCGAGGCTAGCGACCGATTTTCCTCCATAGCTCAGTCTGCAAGAAACGATGGGGGCAGTATGTTCAGTGAAGTCATCCTGATGAATGAATGAATGAATTAATTAATTAATTAATTAACTAATAAATGAATGAATGATTAAATAAATGAATGAATGACGAAAAACTTGACCAACCCTCCTGACAACTTTATAATTTATCTTTGCAATTTCCTGGAAATGGATGGATAAACGAATGAATGAATGAATGAATGAATGAATGAATGAATGAATGAATGAATGAATGAATGAAAGAAAAATAAACAAACAAATAAAAAAATGTATCAACAGACGGATGAATGAGTGAGTGTGCACTTGCAAATAAATAGAAACAGATAAAGGAGGAGTGGCATTTCAATGCTAACATTAATATCACCACCAGCGTCAACAATGTCATCCTCATCTTCTTCATAGCAACAGCTCAAAGATGGAGGTTTATTGACGTCATAATTTGTCGTTGTTGTTGTAGTTTTTAATGACGTCATCATCGTCGTTGTAGCTACTGGTGTGTCGGTTTTTAAAGAGCCAACACAATGAGAAGCATAACTTGGAGATGATGAAGTAGGCATACAATCAAATGCAGACCACGTTAAATTATTTCCTGGCGTCGTTGTCAAATGTTGTTGTGGTTTCTGAGTAGTGTTAATGGCAGTGGCAGTAGCAGCAGCAGAAGCGGTTACGGTAGTAGTAGAAGTTTTTGTGTGGTTTTCGATGATCGATGCAGTAGCTGGCGTTTGTGGACCCATCAAAGATGAAGAAGCAGTAAAAAAAGAACTGAATGAACTAACTGACGCCATTGCTAATTTGGCTGTTGTTGTTGCAGTTGCAGCTGGTGATGACGTCATTGTAGACGTAAATGACGCTACTGTGGCCGCCGCTGAGGCTCCAAACGTCGATGCAGTCGATTTTTTTTCGACTTTTCTGTCGGAGGAAGCACTATTGATCGACGGAGAAGTAAAGTTTCTGATCAATGTTGACAGTGAATTCCTCGTGGTCGGTGCCGCCGTCGAGGTCGTCATCAAGGTGCCATCTGCTAACATTAACTGCTGTGGTCTGTGCATAGAATAACAATTATTGTTATAATTATTCTTATTATTAAAAATTATCAATAATATTTATATACAATTAAATTTTTTGAAAAACAAAAGTGAAAAATTAACCTATTAAGGTCATAAAAATCATCCAGCACATTGAAATCAGCATCAATATTATTGGCACATTGTTGTTGTTGTTGTCGTATCTGTTGAACTTGTGGCTTGTTTTTGAGCAAATTTTCTAATCTTAACTTCAGAGTAGCATTTTCAAGCTCTAAGGAACTCATCCTATAGAAGTCATTGTTGTAATTCAGCAATGCAGGCCTTTGTGTTATAAACAGGTAGGCAGTTGGATGGATGGTTAGGCCATTTTATTTAAAGTTATGAAAAATAATTTGAGTTAATTTGTGCCGGTCGGACAATCTACCAAACTTACCTGAATCAACCAACCAATCAGATGTCTTCAACCAGCCAATAAACTGTCCTCAATCAACCAACTAACCAACCAATCACATGTCTTTAGCTAACCAACCAGCCAACCCCAATCAACTGTCATCAAACAAACAAACAAAGGATATTCATGTTAGCAAGTACAGTACAGAGGAAATTTCTCAACGAAAGTACAAAAGTATCATGCCATTGAGATGTGAAATACTTTGAAAATTTTACATTATCTTCTGGAGTCTTCTGAAATGGCAATGCTGTTATGAATATTATTAGGATTATTAGTATCATATATCAGCAAAACGAAGATTGATTAATTGATAGTATCATATATTATATATATATATATATTATGGAATATTAAAATAATCTGTTTATAATATACTGCTGGTTTTACAAAATTTTTTTAAAATTTTTAATCAGATCAGGAAATAAATGAAACACAATATATTTATTATCTCAAGGACAATTGCATTAACAACTGCTACAAAAATTACACTAACAGAACCAGTCAGTCCATTCAGAGTTATTATTATTAGTGATGTGTGTAGACATTTTATCAAAAAACTCGAAAACTTTATCGCTCCTGCTAGCTCTACATGCATATACAATGTACAACTTGAGCAGACGATTGTAAAGTCTATTGGCCACCTCTTGTTGATCCCCCTCTAGTTCTGAAAATATTGTTTGTTCGAGAAAGCTCCAAAAATCTTTCAGGGACAAGATGTTAAAGTTAGTACAGTAAGATAAGAGTTGGTCTGCTATTTTGTCTGCCTGGTTTTGTGTTAAGGAGTTAGTGAATTAAAAATTTTTGATTAATTTTCAAAAATTATTTACCCAACACAATTTCCAATAAAATTCCAGCTAAATTGAATCAAGCATGAATTTTTAAATTTAAATTTATATGAATAATTGTAATAAATATCTATAAACTCATTATTCTATAAACTCACTCTAAAAGATTTTGCAGTGGTATCCTGTTTTATTTCATTTTCAAACGTTTTTGAAGTTGCACTCAATCCCCTGAACAGAAAATAGTGTTTCATTGACGTCACCTCATCTTCAGGCAATCCCCACTGGGCACAGTTTACTGGTCCGGATCCGTACATCCTCAACCACTAATTACTTAGGCTACGACGAGAATTTTTTATTTTTTACTTATTAAATTACTAAAAATAAACAAAAACGCCCTTAAATAACTAAACAAGAACCTTTTAAATTTGAAAAAAAAAATAAATTCAACAGTTTTAATCAGTCTAATGTCTGATCTAAGAATCAAGATAGTGTTAAAGTTCTTTTTTTTTTGAACGAAATTCGCAGTTTTTAACAACTATTTATTTAAAAATTCGCAGAATACAGCACGTAAGATAAGTGAGATCGTTCACATGAGATGACAACCATTTATTTTTTAGCGGACTCTTTCGTAATAAGTTTTTTATTAAAATCCACTTTTTATTTTTTTTAATCTTTTCCATTAAAATCCACTCTTAAATTTCAAAACTGTAAATATTTGTATTATTTTTATGCGAATTAAATTATATTTTTAATTAATTTTTTGAAATCTCACACAAAAGTCGTAATGAATAGCAGCAATAACGATAATTTCAGTAATTCGATCGTCAATAAAGCTTATGATCAAGGTAAACTTTTTTTAGTTTTTGGCTGATTTTCAAAATAAAATTTAAAATTAGTTTTATTTTAATTTATTTTATTTTAATTCTTATTCATTTAAAATTTAGTTATATGAATTGTATTTATTTATTTATTTTCTGTTCAAAAGTTAAAAGATTTGAATTATTAAAATAAATAAATCAAATGGAAAGTGATGGTTACTTTTGATTTTTTTATAAATTATGTCACAGATGGTGATGTTGTTGATGATGACCAGATTTCTAGATCTTCAACATCAGCTGAGAACATAACTACTTCTGATACAATGGCTATAATCGAAGTTCCAATGAAGAAAATTCCAATATTGTAAGTATATGTATGTCTGTGTGAGTGTCTGTCTGTCTGTATATAAAGAGTTTAGTAGTATAATTATTCATTAATTATTTACCAGGAACTGTGAAATTCAAGAAGAATTTCGGAACATCATCTTATTTAGTATCTTCTTCTCAGCCTCCATAACTATTGCCCTAATTTGTACTATTTACCTTGGACCCCCACCGGCAGATTTGCATGCAGCTGTATCCAGTAGGAATGGCAGGTGCTCTAAGCTGGGAACTCCAATGTTATTGAAAGGTGGAAATATTGTAGATACTGCTGTCGCTGTTTCATTGTGTGAAGCTGTCTTAAATCCTGCAGAATATGGTCTTGGAAGGTTTGTGCACATGTCTGTTGTTGTTGTATTGGGGGCTTGATTGCTGTTATTGTATACATGTACATATATTTGTCTATAGAAATAGGATTGGGCTTTGATCAAAGCTGAAAATGCAGTGCTATTTCTTAACAAATATATTGATGTATATATGTTTGTGTGTGTATGTATATATTTATGTCTAGCAGGCAGTATTTTATACTAATTTAGTTGTGGTATGATCATCATTCAAGACCAGAGAAATAATGTTACCAATGCCATTGATTTTGCCTGCTCTACTATTAAATATCAGAAGGTTCTGTTGTTGTTGTTGTTGTCATAGTTGTTGTTGTATAGTTGTTATTGCTGTTGCAGTTTTTTTGTTGTTTTAGAAGCATGTATATTTTTAAGATGTTATTTTTAATTTTACAACAACATAAAACGGTTTTTTTACATTTTAAAGCAATGGATATATCTATTTGTAGAATAAATTTTTTATTCTATTTTTAATTAAACTACCTCTTTTTCTATGTTTAGGATATTATTTAGTTTCTAGTTTTAGATTAATGGCTTTATATTTATTTTTAGAATGAAAGTCCCAGTGTGGAAATTCCAACACTTCTGAAAGGATTGGCACTTGTTCATGGGAAATTTGGCCAGTATGTGTTGTATTTTTATAATTTTAATTATTACATTTTTCAAATCTATTTGTTTATTATTTGTTGTATGTGTTGTATATTTATAATTTTAATTATTAATTGTTATTATTATTGTATATTAATAATTTTTTAAATCTATTTATTTACTATTAGTTTTATTTATTTATTTGAAAGTTTTTTTGATTATTCCTGAAAACTCTGAATTTTAGCTGGAGATGGAGTGATGTAATGAGGCCAGTTCTGGATATAATCAATGAAGGTTTCATAATTTTAAAATGTTAATTTTTTTCTGCAAAAATAACCTATATAATTATTAAAATAATAATTATTATTATTATTGTATTAACCCTTATTATAATTATAGAGAATTCTAACTATGGTGAGAGGTCAAAGTTCAATGAACTCTTCAATAGTATTGCTCAGAATGGCATTCAGTCGTCATTTTATGAGGGTAATGTGGCTAAAGAAATTATCAACATTGTAAGTAATTATAATTCTTTCTTTTTTTATAATCAATCAGTATAATTATTTGCTTAATCAATTAATCCATCTGTAACTTAATTTTGTTATGGTTTTTTCATTTGTTAATTAAGCTGTACATTCATTCATTTGTTATATGGATGAATGAATATTCATTCATCCATTCATTCATTCATGCAGCTAATGAAATATTTAATCAATCAATCAACCAAAGATATCAAATACAAGCAAAGATGTTAAAAGTGAATTTCAACCTAATGAGTTATCTTCATATACTGCTCAACTCATTGATCCTATCGGCTTGCTATTCAATGGTTGATTTCGTTTGTTCGTAGTAATAAAAGCGATAATAATAAAATCAATAATAATAATTATTATCAGGAAAATATATTGAATCCCCATCGGGCAAAGCTAGTTTATCTATGTTTCTATTATTAGATACTTTGCAACTTTTAATATCATCTGGAAAAACCCAGTGGAATTCCACTGACTATTATCATTACTACATTGAGGTGATTGTTATCATTGATATAGTTATTAGATTGACTACTTTTATAATGTCTGAAATTTTATTTAATAAAAGCAATGATAATAATAATATAATAATAATATTAACAACAGGCAGTCAAGCTGGTGACGAAGACACTTGAAGCCAACTACACTTACGTATATGACATGAATAACTATGGAAGGTTATTATTATTATTATTATTATTATTATTATTATTATTATTAGTAGTAGTAGTAGTAATAGTAGAAGTACTAGTAGTAGTGTTTAAATTTATTCATAAATATTCATTATTTACAATATTTCAATATAATTATTTAAATATTTAATAATAATAAAATATTATATTATAATATTTACATTATTATTTAGGAAGTTGCTGGCTATCCAGTTGGCTTCAGCCATTAAGAACACATCCTCCTCCTCAGCAGCAGCAGCAGTGGCCGCAACGACGACATCACCACCGTCATCCACAAACAGCTTCCAAACAGGCAGTGGTAACTATGATAGCCACAACGACAACAACGTCTTCAGTAACAAGAGTGATAATGGTTATAACAACAATGCCAAGGATGATGGGGATGAAGCTGATGTGAATTTGATGTTGTTGAGTAAATCCAACAGTAGCCTTATTAACATCGTCGGTCCAAATGATGGAATCCTATCAATGATAACGTAATTTATTATTATTATTATTTTTTTTTATTATTATTGTTGTTGTTGTTATTTTTGCTATTATTTAGGATATAATTAATATTCCGTTCTTGTTACAATACAATTTTCAACCTCATTCTCTATGGCCTAGCTATTGAATTTTACTGCGGTGACTATAAATAGTTAAATACATATGAAGATTCATTGAAAACTATTATTATTACCATTTAACACGAATATTTATGTTTAATTACGAATAATTATGATTAATTATGGCCATATTATAATATAACTTCCAACAGGTGGTCCAATACAGGCCATGATATCATTACAAAAGAACACGGCATAACTCTAAATGAAAGACTGGCCAGTGCAGACGTACTTGTAATTATTTTTTTGTGTAGTTTGTTATTTTTATCGTTATTATTTGTTATTATCATTGTGATTGCTCTTTATTATTATTGTTATTAATCGCTAGTGTTGCTGTTGTTTGTTTGTCTAATGATCACACTCATATTAATGATCACAATCATATTATCCATATTCATTGATCATTCATTCATTCATCTTTCTTCCATTGAGACTTGAGTTTTATCATTATAAAATTCGTAATTGACCATAATTTCGTCTTAATATTTTCATTATTATATCGATACTTTTATTATTTTATTGGTATTTTTATTATTTTATTAGTATTTTTATTGTTTTATTGACATTTTAATTATTTTATTAATATTTTTATCATCCATTTAAGCAGTACTCCAACAGAGGCTACTCAGAAAGCTACATATCAAGCCTAGTGCATGACACAATTAAAACGTGTGGCCTGCGATTGGCCATATCTGGGTCAAGTTATCTAGGTCAAATAATCATTATTATGACTGTCGTACACACACGCACACACATACATACATACATAGACACCTAACCAGCCAACCACACACACAAACCATATATATGAGCAAGAATATTCATGTAACATTTTGAATGGCCAACCTTACATCATTTGTAGTAGTAGAGTTGTCTAGAAAAAAATTTCTTTTGCCTTGTATAAACTGAATAACGGAAATTTAGTTAAAAAGACTGATAAATATTCATGCATTTGCATACTCATACATATTCATCATCATTATTATCCAAAGATGTTTCCCAAGTGATAATTAACATATTTGGCCTGCACATGAACCAATCAGAGGCAGTCACTCGACCTAGGCTTTACGTGATCGACGGAAATATATACTGTGAAGGTATTAATGTCAACAAATTGATATTTTCTGACTAAATTACTTTTTAATAAGAGTAATTTAGTCACCAATAACATGAATTTTATTTTCTGAAAGTTGAATTGTTCATTTTAATAATTCACATAGATGGCATTCCAGGAAGTGTGATAGAGATGCTATTAAAGAGAGGGCATGCGAGCATACATCCTATAAACAAACTCGAAAAATCTCCGATCAATTCCGGAATGTCCAGGGCAGTTTCCATTGTTTGGAAAGACATGGAGGAAACAGGGACGATAAGTGATCCCAGAGATAATTACGAGGTTCACAACGTTTAGTACTACGAATTCGATTGGTCTTTGCTTCAATTCGTGTATCTATCGGTGAATTTGATTGGTCGATTTTGTCTACTATATCTATTTCTAGTTGACGCATTCATGCATGTAAATGTGTAGTCGTCATTTATAGATCGTTTTTATCTCAACGATTAATCATAAGTTTGTTTCCAACTATTTGTTCCTGGTTATTGTGATAGACATTCTATTTTGCTTTCGAAGTTATTGATAAGATTTTTTTATCAAAATTCTGAAAATGTTTCTACTCTTATTTTAAATTCATCTTTTCCATTAAACACATACATCTAATTCCTAATTATTTAATAAAAAACGCAATTACTCTTCAAGTTCTTAAAGTTTCAACTTTAAATATATTTAATTAAAATAGCCATATCATTGTTTCCTACTATCGGGCTGAAAATATCAATTATAATGTGAACCGTTAAGAATTTATCACATTAATATGCTTATATATAAATTATATATTTGTAACATGAATACTATAAAGAAACACACCTTTAAGTTTATTGTATCATTCAAAAATGCTGGTTTATAAAAAGAACTATATACATACAATACATTCACACACTCTGTATTTATATTTTAAATTTATTTTTGATAAATTTGATGGTTTTATTTTTAAAAATAATGTCAACTGAATTGTTTAATTTGTACAATATAAATAAATAGGCAAAATTAATACAAGTGCACCTGGGAACAAAACCCCCAACTACCATCTTCATCTTTCCCAGCCCCACCCACTGTAGACTTGTAGAGTAGAAACTTTATTACTTTACAATCTCCAACAATAAATCTGAAAAATTGTTGTGTTTAAAATTTCACATCACAATTAAAATTAATATTACAATTTAATTAAAAAATGAGTTACCTGTTACGTTCGTTATAACATATAAGAGAAGTACCATTGAATTGAAATTTATCACACTGGCTACTATACTATACTTACTAACTAGACCACAGTAAAAAAGCTGAGCGTTTCCGTTTGGTTTGTTAGAGACAGACGTGGCAAAAAGCTGATTAAAAATTCATTCCACCGCCAATCTGATAGGTTTCGTCATCTCTAACTTTACCTCCTAACAATAAATAAAAAAACAGAGTAACACGTGTTAACCACTGCCGCCGTAGACGAGTATGCGTCTAGTCACGATTAGTAATTTACATGAAAACGCGACAAGACACAGCCCCGTCAACTCAGAACAGTAAATTCAAACTTTGACAAACTTTTTTAGGTAAAATTTAATTGAATAGTAAACAATTTATCAACGCCAGCCTTCAAGGAAGTTATCGATTGAACAAAATGGCAGCTAGTGAAATTTGCGCCAAAATTGTGGCTACATTCTAAGTTGACGACATCTATAGTTGAAGTTTCAAAACGTGAATTTTTTTAATTAACACAATAATTCTTACATTAAATGCTTAAAACATTAACGCTAGTAATGTTTAAAACATTAGTTTAATAAAATTTGGTTTGTATAAATAGTAATGAACGCTAGAAAGGAATATTAACACAAACTTTCAATGTAATTAAAACATTCGTCAAAATTTTAAACAGTATTCAAATTTAAAAAAAAAAAACAATTTTTTAAAAAGTTTGATGTTAAAATTTTACTATTATTTTCATATTAATAAGCGTTCGAAGTGAAAATATTAAGATTCGAACTTCAAATATTCCATACCCACACATACCCTTGCACTTAAGGTTTTCTAAAGAAAGCCATCTTCTCTTACGTAACACGCGCCAAGTTTGAAATATTTCCTCTTCCATTTAACTTTCACTAATTTCACTAATCTCGTGGTTCTCATTGGCTAGTTGCCAATTTTAGAATAACATTTTATAGCTATTTTTAATCTTTTTAATTTAACTTCTTGTCTCGGAAGAGTTTTTATTTAGATATTCCGCTTCAAAATTTGAAGTTCATATCATGTCTTCAGAATCTGAAACTGCTGCTGAAGCTTCTGGAGCCGAAAAGTAATTTTTTTTTAAATAAATAAATCTTAATAATTTATTTTATTATTATTTGCGATAAATTTTATTTTTTCTCGTTTTTTGCCGTTCTATTAAAGCAGTGGGTAGAGAACAACATGTAAAATTATAAATGAAAAAATTTATCAGATTTTTTTGACTTGTTCACTTGTTCAGTAAAAAAAATTAGAAAAAGAGTTTGGCAGAGCAGTTAGGAACCTTTTAAAAAGGTTATATAAATAAAAATTTAATTGTAGAAGATTTTTCAATCAAAAGTTCAGAATCCTGTGGTCTGCAATGGGAAATACCTCATTTGTTTTTTCACAATTCTATTTATTTATATTATTGCTAATCATTTTATATTTTTGTAATTTTAGAATGGAAATGTGTGAAGAAGATAGAAAGAAGGTTGATGAATTGCTGACAGAAGGAAAGAGGAACCTCTTTTGTAAAGAATTTCCAACAGCTGTCAATCAACTCCAAGAAGCCTGCTCCTTACTGTTATTGTTTTATATTTTACCTTAGTTTTTCAATTCGAAACTTAATTTAACTTTTTTCTCAACAAATTAACATCAGAATTTAATTAAATTTCAAAATTAAATTCACTTGCAATTCGATTTACACTAATTTTTCATAATTTAAACCCCAAGATCAAAATGTCACGGTGAACTTGCATCAGAGTGTGCCCCTGCCTATTTCCTGTACGGCAAAGCTCTGCTAGAGTTGTCGAGGATAGAGAACGACGTCCTTTTCGATGCACTGCGTGGATGTATGCGTGGGAGAAAATCCATTGACTATTTTTTTAAATAATTTTTCATCTTTTGCCATTTTTTTTAAATAATTTTTATATCTTTGGTTATTTTTTCAAGTTGTTTTTAGTATATTTCAATCTTGAGTAATTTTTTTTCTTTAGAAGTTCGTTGAATAATTTTTCATCATTGTTTTGTTTTTTAAAATAAATCTTCCCATTTGGTATTTAAAATTATGTATATATATATATATATATACACTGAACAATCTCACTGTCTTTTTCTCATCCTTTCCATGTGTTTCCATATGATAATGCATTCATTCAGTTGGAAGAAAAGATGGCGATGGTGATGTGGTTGGTGATGGTAGTGGTAGTAAAAATGATGGTGAAGATGGTTGCGAGGGACCGTCCGTTCTTGATTCGTTTGTTGAAGAAGATAACGTGACTGGTTAGTGGATTGATTTGTAATACTCGTCTGTTTGTCTCTTTGGTCAACTTGACGTTCATTCAGTCATTTATTTATTCAATCATTCATTTATTCAATCATTCATTTATTCAATCATTCATTTATTCAATCATTCATTTATTCAATCATTCATTTATTCAATCATTCATTTATTCAATCATTCATTTATTCAATCATTCATTTATTCAATCATTCATTTATTCAATCATTCATTTATTCAATCATTCATTTATTCAATCATTCATTTATTCAATCATTCATTTATTCAATCATTCATTTATTCAATCATTCATTTATTCAATCATTCATTCACATAGCAATTATTTATTCATTCATTTCAGAAGAAGAAAAAGCGAAGATTAGCGATCAGATCATTGACGCAATGGTTGACGAGAAGGATGATGGCTCTGGCGAAAAGACTGAAGACGGTGATGGTGAGGAAGAAGAGGAGGAGGAAGCAAAAAACGAAGAAGATGGTTGGTTGGTTCTGTGGCAGTTGGTGATTACAACGGCAAACTTGATGGCCAAATTAATCTTTCCTCTGATAACAAAATTAAAAATTATTATTACTCTGCATGTTGTAATACTCGTCTGTTTGTCTCTTTAAAATGTCTAAACTCCAATAATAATGATAAAAGTGGTGAATGAATGATTGAGTGAATTAATGAATGAATGAACGCTCTAGTAAGCCTCATCTACCACCAGTGTCATTCACACTCATCCAAACAAACTTTTAAAGGTAAGGCAGCTTTGGATGACCAAAATGATGGTGATAAAGACGGCGATGATAATGATAAAGACGGTGATGGTGGTGACGCCACTGCAGAAGAGGATGACATAGATGAGGAAGATGGCAAAAAAAAAGAAGTGAGTGTTGGTTAGCGCGGAACGTAATTTTCAGGCCAAATTAAAGATTATACACTTTTTAAAATTAAATTTATAAATGACGCGATGTATTTTTAAAAAAATGTGTTGGTCGAATATTTATGTGTCAAATAATTGACTGAGTAATTAAATAATTGACTGGTTTGCGACTGATTGATTGACTGGCTGACTGATGGATTGATTGAACAGAGTGAAGAAGTTACTAATCTTCAACTTGCGTGGGAGATGATTGAGTTGGCAAAATCTATTTATAAAAAGTTTGTTTTGATTTTGTATTTTATTCATTTTCTCGTTCGTTCGTTCATTCATTAAATAAATTGTTTTAAAAAATGAATTTAGTTAATTTGTCAATCATTCATTCATTAAACAAAAATACTGAATTGAAAATTATAGGAAACAAGCAGAACTGGAGGCAGATTCGGAAGAAGCGAGAGAGCTGGCAATCAAGCAGGCTGATTGCTACATTCTCCTCGGAGAGATTGGAGTCGATTCTGGTTGGTTGGTTGGTTGATTGATTGGTTGGTTGGTTGATTGATTGGTTGGTTAGTTGGCGGACTAGTTTGGTTACTTTTAATTCATTCTATCAGTATTTTCATTCAGCAATTCGTCCCAATTATCCGTTCATTCATCTGTTAAATCTACCCATCCATCCATCCATTCATTCATTTTTCTTTCACTCGCTCGTTGGCGAGTGAAAGAAAAATGTTTGGTTACTAGTTTGGTTACTTT